ACTTGCCATTCAACGTACAACTGTTCGAGATTTCAATATTGACGTTATTTTCGAATCGATCTGTAGTATACGAAGAGGAATACGATAGCTTTTCTTCTATTAACGAAAATTAGAAAAAAAAAAAAAAAGAAAAAAGAGAACCCTTTATTAAAGCATACGAGATATATGTTTCTTTTTCATTCTATCTTGAATCGATCAATTTTTTATTTAATATTTTATTCTAATATCAAAGACGCGATTTTTGCGTTCTCATAGATAAATCTTACTTTTTCCAACGGAAATTGTTCTCTTTTCCAAAAATCGTATTATTTATATTTATTATTTTATAGAAAATTGTTCTTTTGTTTTTCGAATCGAATAAAGAAAATAATAATAATAATAATGATAATAATAAATACGAATAAAAATATCTGATATATTTTTTGTTTACCCGACGATTAATACGAACAAATTACTCGTCGTAATTGGAAAACGCGTAAGAAGAATTTAAAAAAGAAATAAATCACGAGTTTCAAAAGGATTGAAATAAAAAAAACAAGCGATCCATCTTATGTTTCGCAGAAAATCATTGTTGAGATATACGAGCTAAAAGAAATGTGTTTTCTTTTTTTTCTCCGTGTGTGATATGAGAAAGTTTAAACAAAGTTAAGGAAAAAAAGTTCTAAGAAGTAAGAAGTAACTAAGAAAGCCATATATATATATATATATATATATATATATATATATATATACGAGAAGAAAATATATTAAAAGAAAAATGAAATAGAAAAAAAAGAAGAAAGAGGATAAGGGGGTGAGGGAGGGTGGGGGACAGGAAATTTAGATCGAATAAGACATAACACTCGCGGAAAGGAATTCAAGTTGAAAAGGGATTAATTCTTGAAACCGCGTCGTAACCGATAGAAAGTACGGTAAGTTCGCCACAACCTGACGGCTAATTGTAAAGCACGCCGAGTAAATCCAAGCACCGCCCTGTACCTCCCTCCCTTCCTTCCCCGTTTTCTCTCAACAATCCCCCTCTTTCTTGGTTATATCCCCTTTTCTTGGTACTCAAGTGCGAGAAGGAGCAACCAAGCAGCCCTTATTCGACTACAAGTAACGCGCGTTCACCACCACCACCACCCCTCGAGTTGTTACTTCGAGCCAAGCTTCTACTATATTCTTACTCAACCATCCTACCCTATCTTACCCCATCCCACCCTAACCCTTGCTATAATTTGTACGCGCTCGGTCTTTAGTAGTATAGACGAAGAAAGTTTTCGTCCGATTTACGTCGACGAGACTCGCTACGTCATCCTCCATCGTCCTCTTAGTAGCTACCTTACCACCATTTGTAGTATTAGTTGTGTTAGTGTTAGAGTTGTGACGGTGATCATCATGGTGGTTGGGACTCGGTTATATATATATATATATATATATATATATGTAGGTATAAGCGGTAAACGTGGACTAGACGATATTAAAGGTAAACCTCACCCCTTCCCCCCGTTGGCCCCTCTTGGCTCCATTTATGCGACATTAGAGACTTTCGTATAATAGTGACGAGGAGGAAAAGGAGGAGGAGGAGGAGGAGGAACAGGAACGTAGACAACGAGGAGGACGACGACGACGATGTTGGTGAACGGAATCTTTGCGGAGTGCATGCATAATGCTGCTGCTCGAGACTTGTATCAGAACGGGATGAAAAAAGAAAAAAAGAAAAAAAAAAAGAAAGAAATCAGACATAATGCGAATAATTTTATAATAAACTCTCTTCTTATCTATTTATACATTTTTTTGGGGGGGGGAGGAGGAGAAGAAGGAGGGAGACTTTTGTTTTCTTTTCTGTTTTTGTTCGTTTATTTTTATTTATATTTGTTTCTTCGTATAGATATGTTGTACGGATATTTTTATTTCTACTACAACGGGGATATAGGATTTTTCTAAGAACAATGACAAAGTTTAAAGATATCTAGCAGGGTTGTCAGAGAATGGAAGAACAATCTCGTTCTAATAGCCTTCGGGTTTCGTATAGATGCGTATCACGTGACCACCAAAAAGAAGGAAGAAGAGGAAGAATAAGAAGAAGTAGAAGAAGAAGAAGAAGAAGTGGTTATATCTTCCACAAAATTTACGACAAACATTAAAGTCGAGCTCCTAGAAGAGGAGAAGGATGAGGAGAAGAATGAGGAGAAGGAGGAGGTCGTGGAAGTCTTTGGACAAACTTTTCAACATTAGCAAAGTGTGCTTTCAAAATATCTGTAAGCGTATCTTCTTTCTCTCTCTCTCTCTCTCTTTCTTTTTTTCTTTCTCTCTTATCTTTTGTCCTCTGTCTTTCTCACTCACTCCGTTGAGCTTCTCTATCTTATTTCTTTGACTCGACCTACGGGACGGCGCGGTATCGGAAGTTCAAGTTGATACGAATATGCATCTAATTAAAAACTCTTGATATGGTGATTAAAGGTAGAGAAGGAAGTTATATATATATATATATCGTTGGGGTTGGAAGCTACTCGGAAAAGTTAAGCTTGTGTCTACGTTAGCTTCTATTAATGGTAACCGGTTATGCTACGTTAGCAGAAAATTAACACGTTAATTAAATACAATGTCGTGGCTTCCCTTTCTTCATTTTCATCATCATCATCATCATCATCATCATCATTTTCTTCTTGATCAAAGTAAAGAACTATATCATTATAATATATCTCGTGGAATATCCAAATATATACATATATAATATAGTATAATATAGTATAAAGAATATGTGTAAAGAATGAAAGAAATAAAGGTATAAAAGAAAAAAAAGAAATTTATAAATGAAAGAAATGAATTCTGGAATTTTCGAAAGCCTAGAAATTCCTGAGGCCTCGATGATATTACAAAAGAGAATAACAAAAAAAAGGGTTCCCTTTGAGATCTCAAATCAATAGTGGACGACGAAAAGGGACATAGACACACACACACACACACACATGGTGATGAAAAAGAGAAAATGGGGAATACGCGTCCTTTTTTTCGGCATTCCTCTCTCGTAGCGTGAACTCGGCGATACCATTGTCCGATCTGGATTCATTCTATGTGCCACGTTGGCTTCCTGCAATTACCGCGATTGTCTCGATTTTTCCTTTACTTCCGTCTTTCTCACAGTCTCTGTCTCTCTTTGTACCCCTAATCCACTATATGTACTTACTATTACTACTATTACTACTACTACTATTACTAATACTTTCTTCTTTCTCGTACCTTTTCTTACCTAGCACCATCGGTCAATTTTATTATCGTCGATATGCTACAACTGTTTTTCATAATTATTCTTATTATATTATTAATTAATTAAATTGAGAACAAAAGGAAAATAATTAAAACACACGAATAATTTCTCTCGTCGTCTCTCTCTCTGTGTTATTTTCAACGTTTCCTTTCAATTATTCCCGTCTATTGATTTATTATTTAATTTTTCTTATTTTGGTTATTTCTTTAATCAATATCAATCCAACTTATCATTATTTTACACGGAATATCGGATTTCGTTTATCGATATATCTTTCAGTACACACACACATATATATATATATGTATCTATGTACTTATGTATGTATGTGTGTGTGTAAATATACTTGTGATCGTGTTTGCGATCTTGGCATGCCTCGAGTGAGACGTTAATATACAATAGCAATGGTTTATATATATAATGATTTTATATCAAAAGGGACAAATAAAGAGAAAGAAAAAGAGAGAGAGAGAAAGAGAAAGAGAGAGAGAGAGAGAGAGAGGAAGTCATGAAACTGCTAAAAGAGAGAAAAGCAGAAAGGTTGTGCTCGTACGGCGTGGAAAATGCTGGGTCACTCTTATCGCTCTGGTTCCATACGCACGTAGGGAAAACGGTCGCCTTATCTGGCGTTTCCATGAATAATTTAGAGAGCTTCGTGCTGAAAACTTTTGTACCGGTTTTCGCGCTCTCTTCGCGTATGCGAGTATGCAAGAGAAAACGAAAACTAAAACGAAAACGAATACGGAAAAGAAGGGAAAAAAGAAAGAATGAGAACGAAGGGGAGATACAAAAGAGGAAAAACCAACACCCACCCATCCGCGAATTGTAGCATGGCAAGTCGTGCGAGCGAGTAGAGAAAAATTCGTAATGCGAAGGAAGGAAGGAAGGAACAGTGGAAAAAAACGCTTCGCGAGAAAATAGGTACACACCGCGCACAGTGAGAAAGAGAATGAAAGAAAGAGACAAAAAGAAACTAGGGAAGGAAAATGGGGGGGGAAAAGACCGGGCATTTTCTATTGTCAAAGGAAGGTGCTGCTCGCGCGTGCCAATGTGGTGGTACACACTTATGTAATGTCAATCCTCCTCCTTCTTGTTCAGGGAGAAAAAAATTCAATCGATTCTGCAACACTCCAGGTTTCGTTACCGTCAACACAAGAGAAGAAGAGAGAACAATAACGGGGTAGAAATGAATAAAAGTTGGCTGGAAATGACACGAGTATCGCATATTCTATGATTAATGAGAACGATTATCCTTGAAATAGAAAGAATTCCTTAAAGAAACGAAATTAATGGAAAACAACGATAATTAAATATATATATATATATATAACAAATATTCTCACATTTATTTATATTCTAATTGATATCATCATGGAAACAATGTCGATTAAATTTTAAACGAGGAAATAGAAATAGAGAAAAGAAATATATTCAAAGTGAAACTTTTACGAGTTGGCCAATCTCGATTGTCCATGAATCGTATCGATGTTAAATAAATTACTCGATCTATAAGAGAGCCCTTTAAAAGGCGTTTTCATGAACGAAAATCTCTCTCGTTGAACGTAGCTCTTGTAATGCTATCCTCCATTTTAAATTCTCTCCCTCTCTCTCTTTCTCTCTCTCTCTCTTTTTCTCTTAATGTTTTTGCGAACGATCGAGTTGGTTTTTCGTTAGGTTATAGGGCTTTTGGGGTTGAAAGAGGAAGATGAAGGAGGGTGGGTCGATTCGAAATAGGTTTTAAAAGACTTACCCAGCATGAAGGAACATATAGAAGGCGAACCTCCAAAGCTCGAGGCGTTTGTCCGGCCTGTAGATGAAGACACTGTCGATCGGTACTGGACCCGAGGGATTAACCTCGCCCTTTGCCACGGTGTAATAAGTGAAGAAGCCCAACTGAAAAAAGAAAAAACAAAATATAAAATTGATATGGATGACACGTTGAATTATATTATATTTTAAAATATTCATTATTTTTTAACATTAAATCTCTATACCAATAGTTTATTAATATTTATATTATATTATAATCGGTCAAAAAAATTGGCATTTATAATTGTATTAATATAATAATTTGTAAACTGTTCACGGGTTCGATACATTTATCTACGAACATTTTCTCATATTTATTCAATACCACCAAAGAGGTATTTGTCTTTTTATCGTATATCTGAAACCAAGTGTCACTAACCGCGCCCAGGTTACTTGACTTTAACCGATCGGTAGCCAAAAATTAGTGATTTAACATAAATCAAACTCTCAGTATAATTGTCGGAAAGTTAAATAAGATTGAATTCAAAATTTCAGACGATTGATATATTAAACAAATATAAAACATGATTTATATTGAATAATATCAATAACGTTTTGTGGACTGTAAAAAAGGAGTCAATTTATATTAATCAGAATCGTCATTTACAGATTGCCTTATACAATAATATAAAGTATCGATCCGAGACTGAACGTTCTCGTGTGAGAGTACAATAATAATGCAATAAAATTGTGTCGTAACTGCAGTCCCTCAAACTTCCCTCTTTGAATTCCACCCGCCTCCTATTATCCCATCGTATCGTCCTTCAGCACTCTCTCTCTCTCTCTCTCTCTCTCTCTCGTTTCCCTAGGATTGTGCCTGCACGAGTTATAAACGTTTCCATTCTTCAACGTACGTGGAGTGAGTGAGTGAGTGAGTGCGTGCGTGCGTATGTGCAAGCGGAGCTTTCTTGCATGAAAAACCGTACACGTGCGGTTCGTTCGTTTTACACGAAATTTCTCCGCCCACTCTTTTCTTTCATAAATATGCACTTGCCGTTTAGTTTCCGCTTTTATTATAATAAATGAGACGGTTGTTTTTGCGTATTCGACTAAGGGGGACGATAGGAAAACTTTTTTTTTTATCTTGGTTACGCATCTGGTCGTGTGTGTCGGAGAAACAAAAAAAAGAGAGAAATATATGAGAGATTGGATAGGGAGGAGGAATACAAAACGACGTAACTTGAACGTGAAAATATCCCTCATTGCGAAATCGAACACGGAATGGGGAAAAAGGGAGGATGAGTTGAAAGTGGGGAGGAAGGGGTAGGAAATTATTCTCTACATCGCGTTCTCCCTTTTTCTTCTTCTTATTCTTCTTCTTCTTATTCTTTTTGTTCCTTTTATTTTTTCCCTTCCACTTGAAAATCATTGTCTAATAATGCTCGGTAGTTTTTCTCTCTCTTTCCCCCACCCTTTCTTCTCTTTCTTTTTTTTTTTTTTAACTTTAAAAAGAAAAAATTCCCCAACGACGACAGATCGTCGAACTTATATACCTCCCCCACCGCTTTTCTCTGACTCTTCTCTTCTTTTCTCTTTCCGACCCCCCTTCTCGCGTGCATTTCCTATCGTAGAAATCCAATGGCGCAACGACGAACGAAATTGCCATGTTAATTAGGACATTCCGTTCGGCACGGAAAAACGTGCCGAACGGAACGCACGATTAAGCGCGGTGCGTTTACCAACGGGGAAAACGTGACGCGGATCGCCAATGAAACGCGAGTCGAACGAAATTTCATTAGGGCGTCGTCAATTGTAATTTAACAAAAAAAAAAAAAAAAAATCAAGAATGAAAAAGACCAAAAGAAAAAAAGGAAGGTGAAAACAAGAACAAAAAAAAGAAAATAGAATAGAGCTGAAGGAAGAACAACAAGAAAAGGGGTGGGGGTGGGGGTGAGGTCGAGGTAAAAAAAAAAATAGAAAATAGGTTTAGAATATAGGACGAGCATCCTATTTAATTGACATTCGCAGCAAGTAGGGGTACGTCTTTCGTAAAAATAAAACGATGCCACGTTCCTATAGGTTTCTTTTGCTTCGTTCAGTAGTAGTACTAAAGCTGCTAGTACTGTTGAACGTTCGCGAGAGTACAGACGACGACACATAGCTATGCATATCCTCTCCTCCTCCTCCTCTAGCCAGCTATCCCAAGATTGCGTTTCTCCTTCTTTTTCACGAGAAATTCGAACGATCGACGACGAACAGCCAGCCGCCTTATTTCCTTATTCACCTTTTCCTTATTTCCCTTCTTCTTCTTCTTCTTCTACTACTCTTTACTAGAGTCTTCTTCCATTGCACGAAGTAGAAAAGAGTAAAAAAAAGTGTGCACACCATGGCACTCCTTGACGCTCTTTCTCTCTCTCTCTCTCTCTCTCTTTGAAACTGCGTTTCACTCACTCACCCTCTCTCTCTCTCTTTCTTTCTTTTTCTTGGTACGACACAAATATTTCTTCTTTTGCATATCGAGCGAGGAAGAAGAACCCTGCACGACGACCATTTGCATTCCTCTGTGTCTTCCTCCACCCTTTCCTCCTTTTTCCGTTTCTCCCAACCCTCTTTCCCACCCAAACCCTCCTTTTTCTCTTTTATCGCCATCTTTTTCTTCCCTCGATAGAAGATGTTTCCATTCTCAAGGAGTTACGTGCCTTCGCTCGATTCGAAGCGTTACCTTCTTTTTCCTTCCCCTCCAATCCCTTCTTTTTCTTCTTCTTTTTCTTCTTTTTCTTGTTACTCCATCCAACGACACGGAACCTGCTGTCCCGTAACGATATCTCGCAAATTTTTCTACCTTTATTGCGTTCGAGAACACGAAATTATCTATCTCTTTGATATTTATATACATGCACATATATATACATTTACGTATATAAATAACGTGAAGTAAATTCATGTACGTATTATAGCCTGTTGCTTACGCTTTTTGTACAATTATCTTTTAAATAGGTAGATATATATATATTACTACAAAAATGATTTATTTATTTCTTTTGAAATTATTATTATCCTTCTTTTATATTAATGTAAGTAGAAATCGGGTATATACTTGCTTGGATATTGAACAAAATTACAATAATCCGTTTCAATTTAGCGCAAAATAATCCACGTAAAAGAGTTTAATAAAAAATAATATATATATATATAAAATAGGTATACACACAGAGACACACACCTTTAGAGCGATAAGTGAAATGATAGGAAGAAAAAGATTAAGAGAAAAATTGTCGACGATATAATTCGTGTTAAATCGTGCGGAATTATGGTGCCGACATTAAAAGAGAGTCCAACCGAGTTCGGTGTTGTGTAGTACCTATGATTGTGTGATGGAATGAAGAGAAGGGTGAAAGAAGGGTGGGGGGGGGGGGGGGGGGGGGGGGGGAGAGAAGAGCAAATGGAGAAGAGAAGAGAAGAGAGGAGAGGAAAAGAAAAGGAGGAAACATTTAAACTGTATCATCCACGCGGATATATTTTATCACGCGGAAAAACAATACGCCTATTCTCGTATTTTAGCTGTTTCTCTTAGCAAAAAGCAATGTCTAAGACGCAAGGGACGACGATATTGCAAGCGTTGATTTATATTAGCCATTTGGGCTCGACTAACAGAGAGAGAAAGAGAGAAAGAGAGAGAGAGAGTGAGAGAGAATAACGGTGCACGAGAGAAAAGCAAATAATATAGAGGTTGGGGAAATCTCATACGACAGTGTAACATTACGTTCGTTCAACAATTGGGATCATTATGACATTGGTAATAAACAACATTTCCCATCTACCAAGAGTAATCTATTTTTATTTCCCCACGTTGTGCTTTTTAAACGGAAAAGAAATGCGTACCATGTCGTATTTTAACGGAGGTTAACAAATAACGAGGTCAACACTATATTACCTTTGACGCAAGTATTATTAGGTATATATCTAAAATTCGATTTACGACATTTTTTGTTGTTGTTATTTATATTGATACTACCCGAAAATTTGCTAAAAAAAAAAAGAACGTAACTTTTCGGGACGATCGTTTGGTATAGATTTTCTATACTTATTGTTTTTATTTTTATTTTATTTGATATATATATATTTAGAGATTAGTATTTGTCTATCTAAGGATATGAAAATTTGTGTAAAATTTCGTAAGATTTTCACAGTATTTAATATGCAACTGTACCGTAATAAGATATTAAATTTAAAAACAAAACAAAAAAAAAATATTTGAAAATGTTCGTTAAGGTTTTTAAAAAATTTACATTTTTCCTTCCGCGTAATTCTCTCTCTCTCTCTCTCTCTCTTTCTCTCTCCCTCTTCTTCTCGTTATATTTGCTCTTTTACCTTTCGTCTTTCTTTTTTAGTTGCCGGTCGCGTAGCAGTAAGTGTATTTTAACCATGAGAGGACGAGCGCACCCTTATTAAGCTTCATTTGCTAGTACTTTGGCTAATTGCTTCATTTCTTTCGCATCAACTTCTCTTCCCATACAGTTTCCTTCGGAACGACCAAAGTCATCTTTTCGAAATTTCGAAATATATAGGGTATAATACAATATCATTTTTATGTATCACGAAATATATTTACCATATTCGTATATATTCACACGTATATTATAAAACGCTTTAGTCTTCTGCGAGATAATTATAGAGTTTTCTCATTTATTGTACATTATAATTAAAAAATTATTCTATAACAATATATTAATATACGTTCGTTGAACATGTTAAAACGGTAAATAAGTAATAATAATCAACCGATAACGATTTATTTCTTATTCTCATTAAACAGTCATTTAATCTTTTTTTTTGTTTTTTTTTTTATTTTTCTTATCATGGCTCATGAATTCTGAACATTTTGCGTTACTCGAGTACATTAGCACTCGTGTACTTTGACTAATTAGTTCGTTTTCCCCTTGGTTTGGCTTTCCTAATATCCTCATTCCAAGTGCGCAATAAACGTCTATTCAAACAGAGGACTTCTATCGACACTTCATAGTTTCAACGAATTACGGATGTCACTGAGAATTTGGAGAGAATTTAAGTAAGAGAGAGAGAGAGAGAGAGAAACGTTGGTCGTAGAGTGGAAAACGTAAATTTACACATACACACGCACACAC